ATATATATATATATATATATATCATTTTCTCAATACTACTTCTCATATCATGTTAACATAGTAAAGATATAAAATTAGAATACTGATTTTTTAATATAACTAAGATAGTAATAATAATTTTCTACATCATGCGGTGTAAGAAGTGTTTATCATTTTTGTCGCAATTCATAAATATGTATGGCTTTGAGAGACAATAGGAGAAGAGTTTGACTTTATCGAAGAGTCTGACCTCTCACCAGGGAGTCTGAAAGGTCAAACTCTCTGAGAGAGAGTCTGAAAGGTCAGAACCCCTAGTGAGAGTCTGACCTTAGCGTCTCCCACAGCCATAGATATTTATTAACATTTGGGCGTACTTCATGTTGACCTTTTGGCGCACCTCATGTTGACAAGGTTGACAATTATAGATATGCAGATGGTATACGTAATCCTAATGACCCATTGATGAACTATTCCGCCTGATCTTTGCATTTCATATACCTTTTGACTATCTTCTATTATTGTTGAGTTTGATGTTTTTTCATCAAGCAAATTATGGAAAAATATCGAATACAACAAAAATAGGAAATACCAAAAATAATTTTCTAAAGTTCACATACTTTTTTTCTTGCTAAAAGATTGTCTCTGAAGTAATTCTTCATATTTTTGAGACCTTAGATGCATTAAATTGATGTGCATGCAGAGCTTGTCTTTTTTCATATTTTGTAGCAGTGAAAAACTAGATGATTCAAGACGTTTCTTTCAGTAATGAAGTTAACGTGGAAGACATTTTGCTGACTCCACAAATACGACCAAAACAACTTAATTTAAATAGTAAATTTCAGAAGGCCACTAAAATCGTGAAGAAATCAAGGTTGAATCGCAATGCTAGCGCATTGTAAGATATTGCTGTGGATATTTGCAGCATTCGCTTGCATCAGTGCAAGACCGGCAAGTTCCCTCTCTTTTAATCAAATTGCAAATGAAAGAAAGCATTCTGAAAATTTAATTTTGATAAAATTTGCCATTAGAGCCGATCTAAATGTTTCACACTTTAATGAATGCCAAATTTTTCAAGTAAGCAAAGAAGCGCTTTTTAGAATATCGATGAACATGGATATGATATAATTCAAGAAAATGCAATGCCACAAATGATGGAAAATTCGAGAAAATCTCGAGATTTACGCATGAATCTGAAAACCGAAGACGGTTTCGAAGAAGATAGCCTGCAGTCTTTTAAGAGGTTTGAAAAAATCTTCGAACTAGCATTCAATAAAATAGTCAAGAAAATTAATCATTAGCAATAATCAAGTAATCGAGTAACTTTTAAGTAATAAAAGCAGAAATGAGCTGCGAGATTAAAAATAATTCTGATTACTGCAAAAAGGAAGTTGTAATCAGTTGCAGACAAAAAAGAGGCATCGAACTTCATGATTGGCTGACAGATGCGCAGAAGGAATCTATCAGAGAGGTATTTTCTAGTTACAATTAAATTTTAACTTTAAAAAATTTTAAAACTTTCTCAATTCAATAAAATGGAAGTAATGAGGCTAAGAGATATGCTGAATTTTCGTTAAAATCAAAAAAATTTGAATTATTTCTGTGGCAAATATGTGAGTAGAATTACAACGAAGTGAAGTGAGCGATAAGCTAGCCAACTTCGCTTAGTTTTCTTGCATTTGTAAAAGAATAAAAATTTGAGTGATAAAAGTAATCAGAATAAAGTGTACTGCTCGGAATATTAAGCACGTAAAATCCTGCAAACCTGTACGATTTCCAACTTTATTATTTTATTGGATGGAACAGAGGTGGGGTAAAATGCATTGTAGATGGAAGCTGCTGGAAAGTCAAAACTTGAAATCAAAGAGAAGCTGTTAGAAATGTACCACAAAATGCCAGATGAGACACGAAAAAAGTGGGATGAATTTTACAGGAAAATATGCAATGCTTGGATTGAAAATGTATGATTTTACGTTTGAAAAGTTCATTTTAATTCTGGTTCAGATCTTGAAATATTTTTTTTTGATTTTTTGCTTAATAATAAAGATAAATTTCAAGTTGGACTTGACGTTAATAAATAACTACACATTTATTTACTTCAAGCTGAGAGCCAAGATTTGGAGTAGAGTAATTTTTAGGTTACGACTTCGGAAGAAAGGTCAGTACTTCAGAAGCTTAAGAATGAAAAAGCAATTGATGAATATGAAGCCAAGATTAGTGAATACAAAACTCGGCTACCAGCACAAGATAAAGAACGTTTCGAATTGTGGAAAGTAAGAAACTGACAAAAATTTCTCAAAAAGCTTTCAAATGTATTCTTCTTTTTTTGCATAATTTGAAAGCATTCTATTTGCAGGATGAATGCCGTCAACTAAATAAAGAGCAAGAAAGCCCACGTCATAGAGCTCGACGCCATAGCTGGAAAAATTCTGAACTTGCTCAAATCCTCACGAACGAGCAAATTGCGATACTAGAAGATATGCAAGCTGATCAAGCCAGTGAAGAAGATCTAGAAAAAAAGGTAGGTTATACTTTTCTGCTTTGACTATACTTTTTTAGATAATTCAAATTTTACTTTTCTATTTTGGAAAAGTTGATCACAGATCAGTTTCTTTATTTCTTATTTTTTTGAAGCTTCACTAAAGCAATCTTAAGAGTTCCTTGTATATAAAATTAAAATAGGCTATGATGTATTTATCGAAAGTTCCTGACCATCGACAACGAGAATTATCTTCGCTATTGAAGAAGAGCTGCGTTGAGTGGATACTGAATGTAGCAAACACGCATGACATTGAGCAACTTCTGCTTGCATACACGGTTGACCATTTATCCAAAATTTGCTGCTGTTCAATCTTGCATAATAGTAAATTAGGAATTTACAATTAGCTATATTTCAATGACAATAGCTTTAACTTCATTTGCAATTTGAAATTTGCTTTCTAGAAAAATCAGTTGGTTTTTGATACGCTTCTGGAGGAGTATTTCATCCGATTACCTAAGGAGAAACAAGAAGTGCTAAGATCTGTTAAAGGTTTGAATAATGTGCTCTATGTTTTCAGCATGAAATAAAGCCTAACTCGGAAACGCTTATAATTACATCAAAGATGTCAAGAAGAGACAGCTCGTAAATACAGTCACTGTTTAAAAGTGATGAGGAAAATCAGTTTCTTCAAATTATTTACTTTTTTGTCAGAGTTTCATTAGTTTCTTATATTGCAGATATTTGCGGTCAAATGTGGAGAGAAAAAACTATGACATATCGCCAGAAACGGAGTACTGACAAGGAGTACGATGAATGGATTACGTGGATGTCTCATGAACAGAAAGAAGAATTAGATCAAATGCGCGAAAGCGGATCAAATTTTGAAAATTTGCATCAAAAAATCAACGAATATTTCGTCAAGCTTCCAAAAAAGAAACAGATTGAACTTATCAGCACTTATAAAGTGATTGATTCCCTCAGTTTTACTTTTTAAAATAACCTTACCAAATGGATTTATCAAGTTCAAGTCTAACAGTTACAGTTTTATGTCCAGTTGAAAGGTTATGTAAGTTTATTCTGTCTCGAATCATGAAAAGATCAGAAATTAAATATTATGTATTGGCAAGTGACTATTTCAGAGTAAATGCAGGAAATACTTCTTGGGTTTGGCAAATGAAGAAGAAATTGCGAAAATCAACGCAACCATTCAGGATGATGGGAGTCGTCATGAATATCTTAAAATCATTGAAAGCATATTGAATCGACAACCGACAGATATAAAAGAAAAGGCGGACAAATTCTACAGGGTTAGATTTTGGACTAACTTTAATTGGTCTAAGCGTTGTTCAACTTTATGAAAGTTGAAAGCATACTGTATCAGAGGGCTAGAAATTCGCCAAGTTCCAGTCGTTTGATATTTTTAGTGCTGTGGGATTTTTCACGGGAAAAATACATTCTTTTGTTGCAAGTAAGTTATCAGTTTACTGATAAAAGCAAAGCCTATGCATTCGAAATAAGTATATCATTCTTGATTTCAATTAGATTTCATGGAATTTAGTTCAAGAAAACTTCTGAGCTGGAAAAACTTTCTAGAAACGTTGCTAATTCTAACTTCAAGTTTTCAATTATAAGAATGAAAGTAGTTCGATTCAGAAGCAAACATATGAGATTGAACTGGAACATTTCCTAAGAATCGTCAGATTGATATTGCCTGAGAATTATGTATGACTTAAAAATGTGAAGCAGTCAGTCACATCATATTGCGAGCATTTTTTGCATTCTTTATTATTACCGATTTGAGAATAATTGCAGTAATAATGTTTGCAGATTTGTGATGATATTTATCACAAAAAGATTTACCAATCAAACCTAAATATTGAAGAGCTAATTGAGAAGCATCTTGCTTGGCTCACACCTGAACAGAAAACGGAAATCAAGCAAATGAAATCAGATGGTAAACCTCTCAAAGAAATTAAACAAAAGTATGTCCTTATTGATTAGTCCATTTTAAAGTAGTAATATAGAAGAATCATTATTCGATAAAATTTTTTTGAGCTAAAAACTACAGAAATTTACCTGTGTAAATCAGAAGCACTTGATGTCATATTATCAAACTCAGCGCTTATCACTAAAGTAAATTAATCAACCAGATTCGTAGTCAAATATAGGCCGACATAGCGATTTAAGTTTGTTTTGCTCAGGTTGTTATTGTACATCAAATCAATGGGAGCTGAAAAACAGCAGCATGTTATTAAGAAAACAAAAGAATCATGCTATGCTTGGCTTGACCAGGTGACCACTGCTGAGGAAAGAAGCGAACTCGAAAATATGCATCAAACTGACCATTCAGCTTGCAAGAAGAAGGTATTCTAAATGTTTCATCAAAGCAGTCAAAAGAACTTATTTTCCGAAATATTTCGTAAAATTTTCAGGCTTTTCTTTCATTAATTTAATAATTTTTTGCATTTCGAAATGAAATTCTATCTATTCTTACAATTATTTAAGAAGATAGTCAAGAAACTGATAACTGCATAAGATCAAATCAATACTTCAGGTTCGTGAGTACATTAAACGCCTACCAATAGGAAAACAAGAAGAAGTAAACAAGGATCTGACAGTTTGTGAAGATATTTGGTACAGTGAGCATGAGCATCATCACGAAGATCATCACCACCATAAACGTGTACGACACGATGTCCAGGAAAATGATCAATCTTCAATTCATGGTCGTCATCGTCGGGATCATCACGAACATACTTTGGAGCAGTACTTGGTGACATATTTGAAATGGCTGAATGAGGATCAGAAAGCAGAAATTAAGAAGATGAAAGAGGAGGAGAAGCCTGTAGCAGAAATACAAGCAAAAATTTTTGGCTACTTGGATAATTTAGATAGTGACTTAAAGTGTCGAGCAACTGAATCAATGTATTATGGATGTAGAGATTTTGTGCATCATATTGTAGGAGACGAAAAATACGAAGAAATCAAGAAGATGAAAGAAGCGAATGCAAGTGGAGATGAAAAAATCAAAAAAGTAGATGAATTGTTCGCAGAAGTAACAGATGAGAAGAAACGGGAAAAAATCAACAAGTACTATGAAGGATGCAAAAAGGTGTTTAAGATGATGGCTGAACAGAAGAAGCATAAACATTATGAACTGCATAATTTGGAGCATTACTTTAAAACTCAGCTGAATTGGCTAGGCAAGGAGAAGGAAGATGAAATCAGGAAGATGCATGATGGAAACAAGACCAGATCCGAAATAGTTGATAAAGTTTTAGAGTATTACGAAGAATTGAAAGGAAAGCAGAAGTTTGAAGTAACGCGTACTTTTGCTCATGGCTGTCGACATGCTCTCAAAGATCTGATTGGAGAGGAGAAGTATGGAGAATTCAATAAATTGCCAGAACCCATGCAGATATCCTCGAAGAATTTTCAAGAAATGAAAGAGAAAGTAAAAAAAGTAATTGCCGAAGTTTCAGATGAGAAAAAGAAGGCACGCTTCGGTCATTATGAATCATTTTGTTTCAAAATCGGCGAAAATTGGTACAGTATGCTTGAGGCTCAGCTACAAAAGCGCTCATTAGAAGACTACTTCAAAAGTGATCTCAGCTGGCTGTCTGATGAGCAGAAAGAAACAATAATTCAAATGCGTGAAAATGGCACTACACGTGAAGAGAGAGAAGACAAAATTGTGGAATTTCTTGAGCATTTGCAAAGTGACAGCCGACAAAAAGCCATCGCACTGATAAAAGGAGGATGCTTCTCAGTTTGGGAACTTGTTTTAGGAAAGGAGAAATCAGAAGTGCTGAAGAAAATACATAATTCGAAAAAAAGTACTGCATTGGAAGTTCGAGAGAAATTTGACGAATTTTTGGCATCTGTAAAAGATGAACGCAAACAAGAAAAAGCTAAAGAATTCGGTAAAGTGTGTCAGAAAGCAATGGAATATAAGGATAAGTTCTTGAACCGTTCATTAGACGATTATTTGCAGAATCAGTTGAAATGGCTTTCTGATGAGCAGAAACAGGAACTGAGGCGGATGAATGAAGAAGGAGAATCAAAAAAGACAATAACTGATAAAATCATGCAATTTTACCGTGAAATCGATGATTCGTCGAAGAAAGAAGCCACGGAAGTGTTAAAGGATACCTGCGTAGAAATAGCCAAATACGTTGTCGGTGAAGATAAAGCAAATGAGCTCGAAAGTATGGATAAATCTGGAAAGTCATTTGCTGAAATTCAACAAAAGTTGAAAGAATTTGCAAAAGAAATCAGTGATGAACCAACAAAAGAGTATTTGGAGATTTATGAAAAAGGTTGCGAGGAGGTCTATCGTGTAAGCAGACAACTGGAAGAACGGAAACAGGCGGATGACGTTGATGACAAAGAGCATTCCTTGCAAAGTTACTTCAAAACTCATCTGAAATGGCTAAATAAGGAGCAACAAGACGAACTGCTTGGAATGAAGAACCAAGGTTACTCATCCTTTTCAAATAACAACAAGTAAAACTGCTTTATAGAATCTAATTTATTTATGTACCTTCTCAGATTTCATTTTCATTCTTATTTACTTGCACATTAATTTTGAATTCTAATAAATGAATCTCTTTAATCACAGGTAAAAGCCGAGAAGAAATCAGATTAAAAATTTTTGACTATATCAAAGATGCCAAGAATGACACAAAAGAATTAGCGCTAAAATCGTTGACAGTTGCTTGCAATGAAATGTTCAAGAGATTCGGTGGTGAAGAAAGAGCCAAAGAAATTCAAGAATTGATGAGCAGTCATGCAAACTCCGAAGAAGTCAATCAGAAGATCAAGGAACTTGTTGACTTGGTAAAAGATGAATCCGAGAAGGATCTTGCTGAAGCTTATGGAACTGCATGTCAACAGTTATATACCATCAAAACATGAGATTACTGCTTTAGACAATGCATTAATTTTAGCTTGAAGCTAGATATGCATTCAAAATACAGTCTCGCCAGTAAATGATGTACTTTTGTCTCAAAATATAACTCCAAGTAACAGTTTTGATTGAATGAAATCTCCTGTGATCTTTGACATTTGTCATTATCCTTTAATTTCAGTTTTACTTTGTTCAGAAGAAAGGTTTCTGTTGATTACTTCATTTTTGATGGACATAAAATGTTGATACTAAATTGTACTATCACACAATAATCAGAAGCAAAGCTCTCAGCTACTATCTCTTGATCTGCTATCTGTCATAAATATTCATGATCTAACTTTTCACCGACTTTCTACTTGTTTCTTGAGCGACTCAGAGTTTTCTGCACTATTTGTTTGTATTTTTATTAATAACGAAAAAATTCTCTAGCAAACAAATTACTGAAATTCAATTTACTGTTAAACAAGAACTCAGCAAAGTCTAAGTTATTTATCGACGATTTGCCGTTAATAATTGTATGTGACAAGAATTCTGTTGGACTTACCGTTGTTTTGATAAAGAAATTCTGAGCAAAGATAAGAAGTACATGTTTTTATCAAGCAGCAAGTAGAAAATGTGAGTAAGAAGTTACTGAATTTAGTTCGATAGTTTGAATAAGTTCCAGTCGATCTGAGGCATGAAACAGATCAAATGGAAGAGTTTTCTTCATCTACTAGCAAGCCAAAATTCCTAAAAACTATCAATAAGATAAATTAACAGCTGAATTGTTGATTACTCTGAACTAAGATATACTCGCCTATCACACGATGATAGTAGTGTCAACTTACTTTGAAAAAGTGTAAGTAATTCTTTTTTTCCTCGAGATTCTGAGTTCTTACATAAAGTCAGTAGAATGGAACTATGCTAACAATGAAGATGAAAGTAAGCGTGCAATAAATACTACAGATGGATAACTGAAAATTTTTTGGGTGATTAAGCCGGCTAAAATTGGATTAACTTATGATAAAGGAGATTAAGTAGTTGTGAATGTCATTTGGAGTTGATGGCAGCATTTTAGATTCCATGTCTTCATTTTGAATAAATTTATAGGAAAAGTTATGTGAGAAGCAAGAATTACGAATAAAACTAAGAAAAAATCAAGGATGATTGTCATTTTGATCTGTCAAATACGAAAGTATGAGTCAGTTGTTGCATTCCCAGAAAGAATTTATTCATACTAAATAGATAGAGAGATAGATGGATATGTAGATAGATAGATAGATAGACAGATAGATAGATAGATAGATAGATAGATAGACAGATAGATAAATAGGTAGATAAATAGGTAGATAAATAAATGAATGAGCGAATAGATGTAT